TATAATTATAATACTAATTACTCCTGTAACAATAACACCCCTACAATTTGTCCTTAGTTTAGATTTAGAAAAGCGCTGTCTGGTAGAGTTTTATTGTTTCAGATTTTTTAAACAAAACAAAGCATCAAGTAGGTAAAGTTATCACTATGTTCTGAGCCTAACCTACTTTGTATCAAGAGTTTGTGGTATTTAAATTAAAACCTTTACCTTTTAACTTTACTTCCCTTTATCCAGGACCGATGACAATGCAATAATTTAAATAGTTTGTCCCATCATGACCGATCAGGACCTTTGGGATTAAGCCGATTAAGGTTTTTTACAAAATACAGTAGTGTCTTTTGCCACGTACTAAGGCGTGTACTGAAGCATCTGTGATAAACTCACTTGTTACTTTTTTGGTCTTAATAAGATAATAATCATCATTAATGACGTTTAAAAAACAAAAAAAAATACGCTTTTGTAACTAGCCGTACTAAAATGTAGGAAAGCGAAAAAAACAAATATTTTTACAAGAATTGAGATTCAGCACACCACGCTTTTTTACGATAAAATGATTTTTGATTTTCAACTTACAGAAAAATATTTTCTAGTTTTTAGTTCACTACTACAAAAGCGTGTTTTTTTATACTATAAGTTATTGGTTTGAAAGCATGAATCTCATGAAAAAACATTAAGCTTTTGAGGAGCAGCAGTCGTCTCTATCAATATACATTTAAGAAATACATAACTTTTAAGCTATTATAGCAACGCTAGATATTCGCGAGTAGCAGAGTATTATGTATACTCGACTTGCTGAAGTAATAAAAATCAAAGAACAATGTGTTAGGTACTTAAGTTGTGAAACGAAGAGAGGAAACTAATTGAACATCAGTTAGTTTAGCAACGACCCCTTAAAATGAAACAAGGAAGAAACAAACGTTGAAGTAGTTTAATTATTCTGTAAGGATTTTATTGCTATTCTTAAGTTACAGTTTCAAATTATACCACTTCGTAGCTAAAATGCTCTCTGTTTAACAAAAACAAAATTAATATACAGGGTAACTGGGTAAGTCGATCTAAATACTTTAAGGCTATTTACTCTAAGGCTTAATATTTTAAAGCTGCCATCATTTCTGATAGATTTCACCATGAAACACCATATCCTAAACATAACCATTTTCAAGATACTGGACTTTTAAGATTTTTTATAAAAATAGCCAAAGTTTTGCCTAATATTTTTTTTATAACTTACATTTTATATATTTTTTTACTGTTTTTCTGAAGTTGATACAATGTTTTATAACTTACATTACTAAAATTGTAGTTAACTTAACCAACTGGGCCGAAGTTTAATAATAGCAAAAAGTTTTTTGTTGTTTTTCTTTGACGAATATTTAAAAAGAAATCTATGATAGTTAAACTGCAGATGTGTTAAAATATTTACGTATTGTCAGCTATATAACAAGGTGTAATAGTCTATGATAGTATCAGAATTCATAGAAAACACTTAGATGAAAGACCGACAGTATTAAGAATTAGCGTACAACCCGGTGGTACCTAGTTCAAAACTTGGCTTGTATTTTTGAACTGTTTTGTTTTCTATTCATGACTAACTATTGCTAACCGAATTTTTTGCGCGTATACGGATACGCATTCGCAGTATCCGTAACAAATCAGAATATCAGCATATTCCTCGTTCGTGTGGGTCGTCATCTTCAACAGTATCAGAAGCACAAATCAAAGTTCAGTTAGCAATAGTTACAATAAAAGATATAAGCTATCAAAAAATATTAGGCAAAATTTCTGCAATTTTTATAAAAATCTTAAAAATCCAATATCTTGAAATGATGGTTGGGTTTGGGATATAGTATTTCATAGTGAAATCTATCAAAAATGATGGCAACTACCTAAACACTTTAAAGAGTTGTCTCGTTAAAGTTAAATACTTTCGTCGACTTACCCAGTAACCCTGTATATTCTGTTTAACAGAAAACAAAGTTATGTTCTTATTAGTTATATACCCATAAATTACTGAATTATGTAAGCAATAGATTATTTTGAAAATATAAGACAATCTGAGTAAACAGTCATATTATGAAAACACGCTGAGGCTTCATAAATCGTAAGTCATTTGTTTTTGTCAGTATACTGGCACGTGTGGCGTGAGACTAGAATACACTAAAATATTTATGAGTACGGACAATACTTATTTATTTTTACATCCTAACATTTTCTCATATTGAGCATCCATACTTACATATGTAAAAGTGAGTTTGTTTGTTTGTTAAGCTTTCACGCATAAACCAGTAAATCGTTTTAAAAAAATATTTCACCAATGGAAACCTACATTATCGAGTAACATAGGCTACTTTTACCGCGATACAATACCATACGTAATAAACATAATCCACTAAGATGCCTGCGGATCTTTTGCATTCGAATACCACATTATAATAGACATACCATTGATATTTTTTTATATTCTTTGTTATGTTATAAGTTTCAAAAAGTGCTATCCGTTTGCAAAACCCAACTAATATTGTAAATGCTAGTAACTCTGTCTGTGTGTCTGTTACGCTTGCACGGCTAAACCGCTGAACTAATTTTAATGAAATTTGGCATTCAGATACTCTGATTTTCGAGGAAAGACATAGGCTACAAGTTACCGCTAAGCAAGTACAAAATTGATTTGCTCATAATAAGACGAAAACTTAACTTGCATCATTAAAATGACAAAAAAGCACTTAATGTGCTTTAAAAAGTGTTCAAAATGTGACATTTACGTTGCTGTTTTCTTAGGCTAACTAATATAGGTCTAACTATCACTAAAAATGACTTCACTTTAGTTTCTAAAATTGTCGTCCAATTTTTCACAAGCCACTCCTGTTTTTTTTTTCTGAGGTAAAAAACATCATCATCATCTTCTTGCCCATTTCTCGTATCGTTGGAGTCATCGCAATGAGAATGTCAACTAATAATGTCAATATAATGTAATATGTCAATGTCTACTCGTATATTGACTGAATACTCTCTTTCTAGCCATATCCTCCTTGACGCAGTGTATCTATCTTTTTTTGGTCATCCTCTATTTTTCAAACTTCACTACACTTTGTAAAGTAAAAAATATTTTTGAGAATCTGTAAAATATATTTGTGACCCAATCATAAAAGCCGATTGCTTTTTCAGAAAAATGCCGGGTGTACAAACATACGCTCAGTTTTTTGAGGAGTCGGTTAAAAACCATGATTAGTTGAAAGTAGGGCTGTTATGCACAGCAACGAAGTAGGTATAATTATGAAGCTAGAATGTGATTCCTCATGCTCTATGCGACACGTGGTATGTGTAACGTTGTGCTATTTTTGTGCTGCCGAAATGTGCATAAAATGCTTACGTACTTTCAAATTTTATTCCACGCAAAAACTCTAAACAGATTCACATTGCCGCATTCTCGTGATAATTTTTTTTGGAAAGATTCGTTGGGGATATCAGAGAATTTCAGAATCAGTAAAAGATTTTTCTTTCTGTGAGGTATTTAAGAACTTTTATTGATTACATACATATGACGTGGATTTCTTTGCAAATGAGGAAAGGTACCTAACTGAGTTTATTAAGTGATCACAATATGTGTTTGAAGAATTTGAGTCCTGAAAAATGATTCTTATTTATTGAGGGCGTAATTTAGAAGTGGTAGCACAACAGACAGTGGAGTTGAGCGGTGACGCAGTGAGTATTCCCTAAATCTACTCTGGGTCTGGGTCCCAAGGGTCTGTCGCAGTCGCATGTATTACCCCATCTATCATGCGGTGGACTCAGCACTCGTACGGTGATGAAAAATTAAGAAATAGGTCATTAATCGTATTATATCTATAAACAGCTAGCGTAATAAACAAACAGTCTCCGCATTACCGTCTCACCGAATGAGAATGTCGATGTGTGCGGGTTTTACAGTTAATGAGTGATGGGATATTGATGGCAATGCTAATATCATAATATATAAATAGTATAGCAGTATTTTATTAACGTAATTGTTAAATGACTTTAGGAATAGCAATAGAATAGGAATAGTAAATTAGAAAAAATAAACTCTTATATTTTCTATCGATTTTGGCAGATGTCATCGTTGTCACTAAATTTAAATTGTAATAAAATGTATTCTTCTTTAAAATTATGGCACCCTTACTGGTGAAATATTTTTCTAAAAATTTCAATGGGACTACAAACCTCATTAATTCACCAACCAATTGGCTGAAAAAAGAATTATTAAAATGATATTGAATTCAATTAATATTTATATTTCCTTGTTTTCGTATTTATTTTAATAGAAATTAATTCAAATGCTCTGTTGTAAATCGACGAATGGTTTTTGGTTTTTGTTGATGTCAAAGAACAATGGCAGAAACATATTTACCTAAAACTTAAGCGTTTAAAAAATCGAGTCACAGTAAACTTAATCAAAAATTTTTCTATGATTTATCATGGTGGTGCCATGTGTTGTATAAGTCTTATAAAAGATAAGATATTTTTGAATATTTTATTTGACCTAAGTACGTAATGTCAGATTCGCCATCACGTATAACACACACAACGCCATCTAGTTTCAAACAAAACATTAACAATATGTTAGTACTTAACCTCGAAACATTTAAAATCCAATATCTTTTTTCCTAGACTTCTTTCGCAAGTAATTTTGATATGAGAATGGTCAAGAATAAATTCTTCAGTGTTAAGGATTTTTTGATATTTAAACGCTAACATTTCAGTTCAAATAAAATTATGTATGGGGACCTGCCATTGTCCTTTCTGTTTTTAATTACAAGTCTTCTATGAAAAAACGAATTTGCTTATGATAAGGCTTTAATATAGAGCAGATAGGAGCAGACCATTCACAAAACTTATTTACTATTCAGGTGTTTAGGAAAACAGCTAGATTTAAATTTAGTGATTTAAATTGTAATTAACTTTAATAAAAAAATTATATTTAAAAAAGTATCTTTATTTGCATAAGGTTATCTAATACATACCTGTATTATTCAAATAATACTCTCTTCTACCACCCTGAGAAGGGCGGGAATTTGGCGCTATAGCGGCCCGGTGACCTGTATAACAAAAATACAAAGTAAGTAGAAAATAAGTAAGTTTGCTTAACAGGCGAGGAAATAAGAGTGTGATATTTGAGATAATGCAGTTACTTGTGAGTAACACATGACGGTTCTGTTGCTGATTAAAATATATAAAGGTTCAAAGTTTGGGTTCGATTCCCACCCAAGACAAATATTGTGTGATGAGCATGGTCTTTTGCTCTGTGTCTGGGTGTAATTGGAACGAAGTTCCTTATCGCGCGTTGTGAAAGGAGGCTAGATGGAAAAAATTCTTACGAAAATTGGTCACGACACTTTTTGCTATAGTAAGCTATTGTAAGCTGTGCGGCGTCACATGTTTCTCTGTCTGTCTCTCTCTCTCTTATAGAAAGCAAGCCAGATATTTTCATTTCTATCTTTTTATGTCAGTCATTCAGCGCCATCTATCGAATAGATAGGAAATCATTTCTCAAGGAGATTTTACCAATGTATAAATTGTTTTAATTAGAAACCAACTGAAAAATATGTAGGTAATAGCCGCTTTCATAGATGGCGTTGTAATTAAAATGTGCCGAATCAGTTTTACTCGATCGTTACAACTTCGTTTCTATCGGGTGAGCCGTGTGGTGTCCCACGACACCACACGGCTTTTTTTATCTATAATATGTATCTATTTAAAAATATATAAGTATGTTTATCAGCAGTCTGGTTACCATAGTACAGGTTCTGCCTAGTTTGGGATCAGACGGCCGTGTGTGAGATATATTACATTATTAATATCTATCTACTAACTACATAAAAATAAATTAATATATTAGTATAAATTATTGTTGTTATTATATAGAGATAGTTTGAGTTTGATAAGTTATATTTACAATTATAATTAATATATAACTTAAATTGAGTTTTTACTGGTGCAGAATATTTCAATTATTTACTCATGTTTTCATATAGGGGATAATTTAAATTACTCCTACAAATTGTTAATATTACTCAACTTTATTGTTAATTATTTTTGTATGCTGATATTAATCACATGTTTTTGTCTGCACTTACGTAAATATTAAATTCAATTTAGGTTCAGGGTGTACGCAGCTGTACACCCCAAGAATTCTAATATACTTTTTAAATTGAAAACTAGAACTGCGAGCTTGTCTGAGACGAAAATGCAAAGCTGTATCAATAGAGAAGCCCTGGTCTCGTAGGGTTTATTGTCTATATCCTTTGGTCAATATGAATTTATTCAAGATGTGCAAGGTCTGTGTAGGTGAAAAGCCCGCGTGTCATCAATCGTCTTAATGATCTTGATATTTGCAACAAAGTCCTCAGGTTTTCTTTTGATTGACTTTAGTTACCTAAGGATGTGTTTTTTATTTGTTGCTAAAGTTGATTATTTACAGTTATTAATTATTTTCGGAGGAGAGGCCTATATCCAGCAATGGTGTAGTCTTGACAAAGTGTATGTAAAAATTATGCATAGTTAGGGTATAAAAGCTAAAAGGAAGCTAAAAGGAAAACTAAAAGTGGGTAGGCAACCAAAAGAGTAGTAAAGTTTTTCGAGCTGTATAAATATTTTTTTTTTTTAATAAATTTACAAGTTATTTGTGGACTTACATGTCAGAAATCATCTGCTAAATCATCCAGCTGCCGGATTCTATAATAATTACACTTTCTGCTATAATATGACCACCATACAAGCGACAATTCATGACCTCACCAACACCTTCAATAAGAGAATGGGGGAATTTGAAGCCCAGCTCACAAAAACACCTGGCCCGCCATTAGGTGCAGCCAATCTGTCCACAGAATTTGCTGCATTTAGAGCCTTTGTGTCACAGGCCCTACAACTACTACAGCAGCAGGTGGAAGCACTGTCTCACACTGTAGATAGTATTGAAATGCATGGGCGACGGAAGATCCTGCTCTTGCATGGTGTTGAGGAGACACAGGATGAAAATATTGCTAACACTGCTGTAGAAATCATCACCCAGCACCTTAATCACCGGGACTTCACTGCTGCTGATATCAAGCGCTGTCAAAGGTTGGGTCGGGCTACTTCCACCAAAAAACCTAGACCCATACTCATCAAGCTTGCTGACGTGACTGTCCGAGACAGCCTGTGGTACAGCAAAACGAAGCTGAAGGGCTCTGGTGTCACGCTGTCAGAGTTCTTGACCAAAACAAGGCATGATTTATTCATGGCAGCCAGGGAAAGGGTGGGAATTGCGAGGTGCTGGACCAGGGAGGGCTTTGTTTACGTCTTGGGGCCGGATGAAGAGCGTCATCGTGTGCTGTCCTCAGCTGAGCTTAACAAGGTTCTCACTATTCCACCGAAGCCGACCATCGCGGTACCGAAAGCCACCGGGACGAAGCCTAAGCGTGCAGCTGCTGCTAAAAAGTAACTTATCTCGCATACATTGCTCAGTCCAGGTACAATTCATCACTAGTATAACATTAAGTTATTGTTTACCTCAACTTCACTTAAATACCTTCATATATTTAATTTTGCATTTGTTATTTTCTATAACCCACATTTTATAGTAAACTTTAAGTATTGAAACTTGACATTTACTTCAAACATGACACATAATGTCATTGTTGCGTTTCGTTCTATACTACTCTCTAATCCTGTATTTGGAACAAAGACTTTTGAACACACTTACCTGGACTGAAAGTGAGTGCTAATTTGTTTTCTTTTTTCTATGCTATTTTTATTTAATTCTCGTTTTTATACCTTTTGTATTGTACAACTTTTTGTCGTTTGTTGTATCTCTTTTCTCTCTAATTTAACTATTTCTATCACTGGTCATTCTAAAACCGGCAACCGGCAGATGGAGTTAACGCATTAATTTAGTTTAATATATTTTTATTTTTTTCTATCGATATTTACTTATATTTTTTTTCTGAATATTTTATAAATATACACTTTTGATTGTATTCTAACCAACGACTTGGAAACTTCAAATGTCTTCTTCTGACCGCAGTGATGATAGTACCGACTTTTTGTCTGCTTGTAGTGATCTTGGTTCTCAGGGTGATCCAACAATCGTTGAGACTCTCTCATCTCGGTTCTCTGACGTTCCCAAAAATCTTAACATTGTACACATCAATGCTCAAAGTGTTCCGGCTCACTTCCCCGATATGCTGGCATGTTTTGACTGTACGAATTTACACGCTTTACTTATTTCTGAATCGTGGCTTAAGCCCTGCTTACCCTCTTCTGCTTATACCCTGCCAGGGTTCAATCTCATCAGGAATGACCGCGCTGTGGGTGGGGGCGGCGGTGTTGCAATCTACTTACGCTCCTATATCCCCTACTCTGTTATTAGTATGTCGCCGCAGCCCCCTCCAACGAATGCGGGTGAACATCTTTTCCTGGAAGTTGAACTCCTTCACTCTAAAATCCTTCTTGGCGTCTTCTATTGCCCATCCTTACGCATTGACTTTTTCTCATCGTTTGAGCTGCTCCTAGAACAACTTACTCCTTTATACAGTCATTCCATAATCATGGGTGATTTCAATACCTGCCTCCTTAAAAACGATTCTCGTTCGTCGACGCTGCAATCTATCATCCAATCTAGCAATCTATCCATTCTTCCTTCTAATGCAACGCACTACTTCCCTCACTCTGCTCCTTCTCTGCTAGACCTTATCCTTGTTTCTTCCCCTAATCTTGTAGCTAAACACGGCCAGTGCTCTGCTGATGAGTTTTCTTACCATGACTTACTATATCTTTCCTATCGTCTCCGACCTCCTAAACCTAAAACTAAAATTATCCTGCAGCGGAACTTCAAGGACATGGATGTGGTTGCCTTAGTAAGAGATGCCAGCAGCATCGACTGGGCTCCTCTCTTTAGTGCTGACTGTATTAATGACAAAGTGTCATTTTTTACCTCCAAGTTACTGTCTCTCTTCAATAAATATGCGCCGATTCAAGAAATGAAGGTTAAACGCCTCCCGTCACCATGGCTAACTGCGGAGATAAAAACGCTAATCAAAAAGAAAGCGACAGCGAAATCGAAATTCAAAAAGAATCCAAGCGATAGCAACCGGGACAAATACGTGTTTATCAGGAATCATTGCAGCAGGGTGTGTAGGAATGCTCAACGCCGATACATCCACAGCTCCGTTGAAAACGGGGATCCAGCTAAAGTCTGGAAATTTTTAAGGTCAATTGGAGTAGGCAAATCTGTTAATGAATCGTTTTCAAAAAATATAAACTTAAACTTACTTAACCAACATTTTACTGCTTCGTCAAATTTTGATAAAATGACAAAAGATGCTACACTGAAACATCTTACTTCTGCCCCGACTCCTGACTGTTCTCCCTTCTTCTTTAGTCAACTTGCAGAGTGTGATGTTAGGAAGAGCATAGTGTATATTACTTCAAATGCAGTGGGTTCTGACTGTCTAAGCCGCAATATGATCCTCCCAATCCTCGATGAAATCCTTCCTGTTGTTTGTCACATACTAAACTTTTCAATTACCTACAGCGTATTTCCAACGGCTTGGAAGGATGCTGAAGTTATACCCATCCCCAAAAAGAAAAACCCCGCATCCTTCTCCGATTACCGGCCTATTTCAGTCCTCCCTTTTCTATCCAAGGTCCTAGAACGTCTTATTCATTCTCAACTCACGAATTTCCTATCCAGAAACGTGCTCCTAAATCCTCTCCAGTCCGGTTTTCGACCTGGTCACAGTACCACTACTACCCTAGTCCATATTACGGAGGATATCAGATCTGCTATGGAGAACGGCGAGCTTACAGTTCTAACACTGCTGGACTTCAGTAATGCATTCAACACGGTTGACTTTGACGTTCTGCTGTGTACATTACGCACTCTTAACATATCTCCAACTGCGATTGACTGGTTTCGCAACTACCTGCTTGGTCGCCGGCAGCGCATTAGTATTGAGAGCACTGTTTCATCTTGGTGTAGTACTACAGCCGGTGTACCGCAGGGCGGCGTGCTATCTCCCCTACTTTTCTCTGTTTTTATCAACACTATCACTAATGATCTATCGTCTTCCTACCACCTGTATGCAGATGATCTCCAGATCTATTCTAGGGCTACACTAGGTAATCTGGCTGATGCTGTTGGCACCACAAATGATGACCTAGATAAAATATGTAGGTGGAGCAACTCCCACGGTCTCAAAATAAACCCAACTAAAACTCAGGTCATTGTTGTTGGAAGTTCGAGAATGATCTCCAAAATTGACTGGACAAATCTGCCTCAAATCACTTGCAACGGCACACTTATTCCGTACAGCAATAGGGTAAAAAACTTGGGCACTTACATTGATACTACCTTATCTTGGGGACCTCAGGTACAAGAGCTGAGTCGCAAAATGTTTGCCGCTGCAGGGTCCTTGCGTCGACTTCGCAACTTTCTACCTACTACTACCAAGATTACTCTTGCACAATCCCTTCTTCTCCCCATCCTTGATTATGCTGATGCCAGCTATCTAGACCTTACTGAAGACAAATTAAATAAGCTTGAGAGGCTCCAAAATCTTTGCATAAGATTCATATTTGGACTTCGCAAATATGATCATGTTTCTGAATTTCGCAAAAAGCTTAAGTGGTTACCCATTCGCCTTCGCCGGAATGCACATATTCTTTCTCTTCTCTATAGTATTCTATTTAATCCTTCTATTCCACAGTACCTCAAATCAAGGTTTACGTTCTTGAATGACACACACTCCAAACTGTTGAGATCGTCAGGGAACCTAAAACTAAAAATGCCGGAACATTCCACAAAATTCCTTGACAGCTCCTTCTCTGTCCAAGCAGTTCGGTTGTGGAATACCCTACCGGTCGCAATCAGACGGGCACAATCACTTGCCTCATTTAAGAAACAAGTGAAAGAGTACTACCTGGAAGACGGCAACGTCAATTAACTTCTTCTAAGTCGACTAGGTCACACTTTTTCTTATAATATATGTATTTATAACTTAAAAATCGTCGTATCTAATTACATGTATCTAATAACACCATATTTTCCCTCTAGTATATTTTATATTCACCTAAGGTCAACAAATAGATATTACGCGTAATTATCACTTTTTATAGTTATGTATATACTACTTCGATTTCTTCTTCTTATTCCTATTCTTCTTTCCTAATACACCAGCAACTACCCAATACCTCCTCCTCTTCATGTTTTCTCTCCATACCACGGTTGCCTGTAAGAGATTGCCTCTGGGCGATAAGGCCGCCACTTGTACTGAACTAGCTTTAGGTAATTATGTATATTTTATATCTGGTGTACAATAAAGTGATATATTATTATTATTATTATTATAAAAGCAAACCATCAAATTAGCCACTGTCTGTACCATTTAAGGTTCAATAACATATACATCTAAAAGGTTATTAAAAGGATACTAGGATAATAATACGTTTTTTGACGTTACTATGAGTTTTAATACACAATATTGTATAATTCACTTATGCGGGTTTAGTAAAATATGGATACGAGTTATTAATTGTTATATTTTACTTTAGTAATAAAGTATACTTTACAATTTTGTTAAACACACTCAGATAATTTATTGCTTCAATGCCGTGCTCTAAAATAATAGCGCTATGTCTATGTTGTACAAATTTACAATTCATTCATCAATTACTAAACCCTGATAAGCGATAGATATAATCAATTAACCAGATGTATTTTACTCAGAAGGGATTACATTCATCAATTTAAATAAATTTATGATAGTAGTGTGTCTTTCAATTGGGATATTCACAGAATACATTAAAAAGAGACGTCAGATACATTTGTATTTCAGATTATAACATACCATGCTTATTTTTAATAAGAAAATGACTATCTCAATTTCTTGCCGTTTTAATTCTAAGTTGTTCCTTGAAATATAATCAAACTTATATGAAACATACACATATTTCACAGCATATATGAAGCTCGAATCTACTTTTTACGTTTGTTACAATAATAAGTTATTCCAGGACGTTTGTTACAATACCAAAATATTCCGAGGATAATTCCTGGGGCCCAACATTGGTCTATTGACAACAAACAATAGAGCTGACCAGAGTGGCATAGTAGACCAAAACCTCCTTTCTACGGAGAGGCCTATGTCCAGCAGTGGTCTGTTAGAGTCTGTTGATAATACAGCTGCAGGAAGTCAACAGTTAGCCGTTTGCATTACATTGTAAATATTCTTATAGTTACATCCTTTCTAACATTTATATAGTTTCAATAAGCTTCTTATCTCATCTTAAGCATCTCTCAGTGTTTGTTCAAGGGTTGTGTTTAAGAAATCGCGACAAAACCGCAGTTTGTAATATTTTTAAAGTGCCCACTAAAGAATGTAGTATAGTATTTTTGACTAAATTTATGAAACTTATGTTTTATCAAAAAAAAAAACAAGTATAAAACCATACGCAAACGTGTATACTATATTCAATTGGTTGCATTTTGTAAAAGTGCAGAAATTGCAATGATCTTCCAAATTAATTCAACACATGAAATCACAACAATGAGTGAACATGCTTTCACTTTTCAAATGATTTTGGCTTAGCGAATGACCATTGTGTATTTTATACTTATGTAGTTTAACAAAACAAAACCATAGAATCAAAACAGAACAGAACCATAGAAAGCAACAGAATACTCATACACGGACATTTAAAAAAAAAAAACTATTGCTAACATTGTGATACCTGCGTAGTAGGCTCTAATTTATTGGCGAATTTGGCAGGTTCTTCTGTTGCCGACAGCATCCTTCGGGCCAGACGAGCGAAGGTACACCGAAACTGACGGCTCATGCTGCAATACAGCACAAAGTTTACCGACGAAGTGAATAAGGCCAGCACGTCCATCAGATCACCTGTAAGAAATAAAGGTTTTATTTGTTGATATATCCATATTACTTATAATATAAATTTACCTACCTACCTACATTTTTCATAATGTATCATGAAATACAAAATATCTGTTCGAACAATACTGATATCTTCACACATCTCACATACGGCAGTCTGATCCCTAACTATTCATCCATGTAATTGAAATCAAAGCAACGCTAATTGGCGGTGACGGAGTAACCAGTATCGCGAATTCTACAATAGACAGAGATAAACAATACTTAATAATAAAATACTTAATACTTTAAAAGGTAAAAGAACGGAATCATCAGGCGTTAAGGATATTTTTGTAAAAATAGGTTGAAAGAATGTATGTGGTTTCGCTTAGAGATTGATTATAACTGGGAGTAGCATATAGGCTACTTTCGTGTCGGGGAAAAAATATTGACAAAAGCAACGCGAGGCAAATGCTAAAGCTATATGATATGTAATAGTCCGTTTAGCCTCGACAAGTGTCCACAAACACAAGCGTGTAAACGGGGTGTTTGGCTCGGTTCATATATGCTCGTCGTCTATCGGTACCAGAGTCGGTTTTTAAAAATAGATCAAATGAAGCTCGCGGCAAGCGTTTGCAACGTATTTACACGTTGGTGCGTGCTTGTTCCCTACTGCTCAGTTTGATATTACAAATATTGTAACTGAGCAGTCGGGAATCAACATTAAGTCTTAATGCTCTACTGAATGAGCAGTTTAGTTGAGCAGTAGGGCTAGAGAATATATATTTTTTTAGTTTAGTGCCGCCGTTTATATTTTGAAAAATATGTCCGTCTGCTATGTTTGCCTGTCTGAAACACAATAGCACACTCGCTAGCGTGTACATGGCATGCAAGCGTTTGTAAGGACTTGGAATTAATAGAGTTTTGCCAAGCCTCGGCACGCACGTAAACTACTCATAAAGTATTCTAAGTCAAGGGTGTTGTAGCTACATAATGTGAAGTTTTAATCGATTTAACTAAATTCAAAAAGTTTTTAGATACAAAATGGTTAAATTTAATAAAATTTATGTTTGTTTTAGTAACGGAAATTGGCGAAGTTTGAAAATGCAAGAGGCTTAAACTTTAAACTAGGGTATCGGCTACATCTATCAAATAGCTATATTATTATATTAATATGGAAAAAAATTCCTTGTTTCTTTGAATTCCACATTCATCTTTGTAAGAACTTTGTTTAAAAAGATGCAAATTTCTTGGACAAAAACGGACAAATGTGTACTTGTAACTTGATTTTTAAAGAAGGAAAGAGTAGAAACTAAACATTGTAAACAAAAAACCTAGCGGTTAGTGACTAGGACTGCTAAGCCAGGGGTCGTGGGTTCGATTACTAATCAGTACAAATATTGTGTGATGAGATCGATCATTTATTATGTGTTTAGGTATAAATAAAGACGGTTTAAGCGGTTTTAACGGTAAGGTTTAAGACTTTCTACTGCGCTGAGTTTTTTGGGTTCGATCCCCACAAGGGACAACATTTTGTGCGATACACAAATTTATTGTTTTGAGTCTTTCCGATTCATGTATGTTTGTTAAGTTTCCCGCGACACAGGATATATTCCTAATGCGGGAGTAGTATTTTTAACAATTAGTAGTTTTAAAAAGTGACTTTAATAATTCCGATCTAGAAACAAAAAAAAAGCCGTGTGGTGTCGTGGGACACCCGATAGGAACGAAGTTGTTACGATCGAGTAAAACTGATTAGACACGATTTTAATTAGAACGCCATCTACGAAAGCGGCTATTACCTACATATTTTTCAGTTGGTTTCTAATTAAAACAATTTATACATTGGTAAAATCTCCTTGAGAAATGATGTCGAATACAATATTTTTTGCTCAACCTAAGAACATAAATTTCAATTTTACTATTCGATAGATGGCGCTGAATGACTGACAAGTGACAATTCAAAATAAAAAGTGTCGTGACCAATTTTCGTAAGATTTTTTTTGGTCTAGGAAACAACGCAACAACGCGCGATAAGGAACTTCGTTCCAAAAGAGAATAACATATTCTAGTATTTCATTGAGTGTTTCTAATGAGTTTCCAGTTAGTTTCTATTAATATGAAAATATCAAAAATATTCAACTATTCTACAGAAACATAAAATCAAGTAATAAAATAGTTACGTTGGTAATTCTGTATTTTGTACGGGAAACAGTAATCGTTGCCGAATAATAAAACGTCTATTAAAATAAATAGGCGAGCTGGTATTGTTGAAATTGTATTGTTCTAAATTCCTGGGTATTTTCACTGTCTACTAAATCAAAATATTATAACACTCATAAAGTTTTTAAGCAGGAGTATTTTAAAAAGTTTCCATATTCCGCAAGTTTTTTTTTTTTCTGAGATTTTTCTCTTTAAGCTATCTTAGAAAAAACTTGCGTAACATTTAAACTTATTATACATATAAATTATATATATATATATTTGTGTATACACACATATATTTACACAATTTTTTTAAACAGGTTTATTTTTAAATAAAATATTCAGTAGCTAATATAATCGAAAAGAGTAGCAATGTGTTATATCTCAATATCGCGATCTCCTGAAACTCAATTTCAGGAGTTCAGGGTTCAGGCAGCCAGCGATTAACGTTATTGAACTTAATTTTATTCTTATATTTATTGAACTTCATGTGTTTTTTTATTCATAGGTAAAAAACTGTAAGAATAAAATATAGTTACTTTAGTTTTAGAATAGTGTAACTTAGTCTAATTATCGTTTAAAATCTATTTTAAATCAAAATGTCCTACACCATAACATATTTATTAATCAAATAAATAAATGTTATTATTATTAATTTCATAAAGAATAATCTAACAATTATATGGTCCTTTAAATTAACCATCTGTAGTGTCAGCTAGTAGGTACGGTACCCAAATTTTATAATCAGGAAAATATCTGTATAATTCGTACTACTGCGTACTCGGAATATTATTATGCATATTATACCATGTTCATTGAACACTCTATGCATACAAAGATACAACTTCTGGAACTACGTGATAAGAAAACCTTAATGTTTATTGCCTAGTGGGAAATGTATCTTTCACAGACGATATCTACTGAACTGCTTTCATAGAGGATTAATATAATCCTGTATATGTATATGTTGCTTTGTTTTGAAAGTGTATTGAGCTTAGGTAATTAAACTGTTGTAAAATCAAAGGGTTCTGACAAATTAAATTTTTATTCTGCTGAGTTTAAGTCAAGTTGACCAGAAAACGTAGATTTTCGACGAATATTATTGTCTAATCGCCTTTGACAGAACGTCTGTCGGTATAGAAAATACAATAATATAGACTCTATCAATATTATGCATACTAGGTATAGCAGATTACATATTGAATATTTCATCATCATCGTAGTGATAGTCCACTGCTGGTCACTGCCCTTTCCTTAGGAAGGAGGTTTAGTGATACTTCAGTAATATACATTCAAATTCTTATTGTAACAACTCATTTCCTAAAGATATACTTTGTTCGAAACCTGACAACAGAGTTTAATAAAGTCGGAAGAAATATTTTCCTTGGAGCCTTCATTGTCTTAAAGGCCAACTAAAGTAAATACCATCTTTATATAATTTAATTGTATAGCAGGTTTTCCCTTTTCCATTTCCCTATAATGGTTTTTATTTTCCTTGTAAGATTGAGATTTTTTAAATTAAATTTCGATAACAAAAAGGTGTAGGTATTTTATCCAATTGTAAACGGCTATGATCATTAAGACACAAGACGCATTTCAAGGCTTATTGTGCTTATTGCTACCAATTTACACTTTTTAATTTAACAATATTTTTTCAAAATTATTTAGTACAAAATTTCTATTATAGGACTCTGAAACCGATTTCAACTGATGAAATTTTAATAATCCTATAGAGAAATATTATAGACAAATGGTTCTCGTCCATAAATACCACATGTACCCTATATAGTCTAGCGGTTTAGTCTTGGCGCTACAATCAAAACACACTCAAGAATGGAATTCAAAATAGTTCGTTTAATATTCACTCATCGCAGATCGATTAGATCATTTAATTTGGTCTAAAAATTGGAATGTGATAGATTTATTCCTAATGATTTCTTTTTCTTTAACATTAATGATAACGATAACTTTTGAGTACAAAAAATGAAATCATCTCGGGCAAGTAACATTGTTAGATTAATTATTATTTATTAGTACATCGGATCGTATACATCCTTTCCTATTTTTAGATCGATTGATTGAGGCTAATGTGAATAAGGCTCCAACGTCTGAGACAATCTCGCCTTAAGCTATTTAGATTGCCTTTTGAAATAACTCCTTTCAAGCTTTTAAAGAGAATAGTGGAGTGGAAATATGACATAAATATTTCACTAAGCTTGCATCGTATTATGTGTTTTATATGTTTAAGATATGAGCTATTGTAGTTATCCGGTTTTATGTTTGTATTTTAGTTACTATTGTATTCCTAATCATACAGTTGTATACTATCCGTGTAAAAAGTGTAAGGCTGATTGCTATACTGTCTACGTTTACATCAACTGGAGTTGTCATACTTTTATTAAAAAACAGGTGGTCATTTTGTCTATATTAAAATGTAAATTATTGCAAATGACACAAAAAAATCGAAATCATGTCATGAATATAAAACCCCCAGAATATGACTATGATATATTATTGGATTTTAAGTTGGTGCACAAATCTAATTCTAAACTAAATAGCAAAGAAGTAAGTTTCAATCCGAAATCAGTTTACTTATTACTTTAGAACAATACATTTATGATAAATAGTTCAGAATTAATATGGTTAGACTTAATTAGCGTAATCAGCTTTTTTTATCAGCTGTCTAATTAATGTATGTTTGGGATATTTGTATTCATATTGATTTATATTTGTATTTGTTTAATCACGTTTCGGTTGAAGATTTTGTTAGCACTATTACGTTCTTATCCACGACTTGTGTCATGGTAATCTAGTTACATTAGACTATACCAATAGCTAAATAAACTTTATCGACCGTCACCGTAGAGGCGAACAGTGCTAATTTAATCAAAAATTTTAAATAAATGAAGTCCTCAAAAGTCTAATAAAATAATCGAAAATGGTCCAATAAAATCTAACACAGAGGTGACTAAGCTAAGCTAAGCGCAAGCTTTCTCTCGCGCCTCTAATAGTCCTTTCTCTGAATCTACTTAAGAAATCTTTCAAACCGGTAAGATAAATGAAAAAGAGTTTTCTAACTCAATAAGAGACTATCAGGGCACCGTTAGTTAATAATTCCATTAAAATTAACGAGGAACAGAAGTTGAGATATTTTTATAGTTTTTGTACACAACATAAATACATTTAATAAAATAACGTATTAAAATACATGGAAAAATAATATCAAATTAATCCATGTATTTTAATGGTAGCCCATGGTGGGACATCAACACCGTGTGGTGACGGATTAAGAATGCACCACCACACCTGTTCACCCCATGAGTGTCGTAAGAGTTGACCAAGGAGCAAAATACGCAGTACAACAGCACTGTAAAGAGAAGGAAAACTTGAAACAAACCCCCGTACCAACCCGTCTGGTCGGCTTGATACGAGTATAGTATAGTATAGTAGGCCAAAACCTTCTTTCTAAGGAGAGGCCTATGTCCAGTAGTAAACTATTAAAAGCTGTTGATGATGATGATGATTATGAAGACAGCGGGATATAAACATTTTTAGACTTCTAGTAAATAAAAGGTTATTAAATATTTTAGTTACTTTTCATTGTTGTATGGGTTTTCCCGCGAGTCATCACTTCACCGTAAGTAGGAGCTTACCGTGAAGTGGCACATTGAAATGAAACCGACTAAAACCACACGATATTCACAAACGTTTATAAGAATATGACGAAGTAAACGTTTAATAAATGAACACTTCAGTTAATCTAATAAATACATATGAATACGATGGTTTATCTCATTTCAAAATCTAATATGTTTCTTTAATATTACAACATTTAATATGGCGGTATCGTTGTGCCAATTACGTATGAGCAAATTACAGCGAGCGGTAGATTAGTGATATCTTTAGGGAAATTATTAGAGTACGTGTAATGTTCATCCTTTTTTTGGTAGAAAATTAGGTTGTAGTAATAAACTGATGTCTAAATAAGACTTTCCAGGAGTCATTTCGAGACTAATTTTACACAACGTCCATAGAACAAGTCTGCCAATAAATGAAATATTATATTGTGTAGTGTTAATACTAGCCAGAGAGTTCGTAGAATATTAATTATTAATACGAACAGAATTCGGAAATTAATGTACATTTATAGGATTTCATATTACGAATAATACATTAATTAAAATAATGAGCAAGACAAAGGGAATGAGAAGGACGATTTCAAATAATATGTAATTTTTTTATGAAATAAAGACATTTTTACTTTGCCTTTTTACTATGTAATTCATATTTTAAGCTCCTTGTGTTCTTTAAATACTCCTCCTTAAGTCTTTATACAGAAGTTTTTCTTGAGAAGTTATCAGTAGCTTTGCCTGATGTTCCTTGCGTTCCAATATCTCTAGACATAATCCTATCTTGCTAGTCTAGCCAGGTCCAGCTAGGATCAAGATATCTTTTATATTCTTATATATTGCATTTATCACTTTATGTCGAATGCTATAATGCTACTTAATTAAAACGATGGCTTAAGTGTGTACACATCTTTGTGTTACCTAAATTTTCCACGAGGTTACAAAGAATTTATCGTAACTTGATATACTATTAATGTAATCGTAAATATCATGTAGAAAGTTTTAAATTAATTTAGGCTACAAATGTTTCACACAAGCTTAGGCATTAAAGATCCAAAACAATTCTTACCAAACATACTGTAACAACTTTTGAAGAAGTCGGGTGCGAGGGCACTGGCTAGCCCTAGCAGACCCTGAGGGACTTCGGTGGATAGAAATAAACCAAGTACTGCGAGCAGCATGCGCGTCGTGCGGTCTGTACGACTAGACCGTCGTGCGCACGACTCTTCCGATAGGCACTGCTTCTCCGGCTGAAAGCAAATGCTACGTTTAGTATCTTTGAATTTTATATTTATTTGCCTAAATTTTTAAACTTGTGACTTATATAAGGGATGAGGCCTACTCTCGCTAATCAAAAATAGTAGTGTGCGTGTAGTAGTTACAATAATCTAGCAGTCGGCAGTAGATACACTTCTATTCGTGAAAGGTTTTTTATATTCAAAATAAAAGTTACAAAAAAAGCTCTACATCCGCACTTAAAAACTTTGTTTCTTTATAATATTATCGTATTCTTTATAATTAAAGGAGAATTTTGTTTTTTTTTTAATAACAACTGATCCTCTGTCGCGAATGGACAACTTATATTATAATGATAGTTTAGTAAAACTTAAATAATTAAACTAAACTAGAACATATCTATTAAATTAATAAAAAATTGGAATGATAAAACTCAAAATAAAAAAAAACGGCGTGAGGTGTCTATGGATCCCCGGTCGCATTTCGCTTTTTGGTAGACGTTTGCTATACAGTAATTATAATTTAAATTATAAAATATTAAGTTAAAGTTAAATTGAAAAACTTATGATAAAATAAATTTATTTTGTATAAAATAAATAATGAAAAATTACACACTGAATGATCTGGGACGAGCGGGAGAGCTGTGTGCGGCAATGTATATACGAGTATGTAGTTCATACCCAGCTGTAACTATAGCAAAAAGTGTCGGAAAAAAGTCTTGTTACCCATTTTTCAGTCTCGCTCCCATCCGCTCAGAGTATGCAAAGCGCGATAAGGAACTTTGTTCCAATATATCAATAGAAATATTAACATATAGACAGAATATATGTCCCGAGAGGATCCATTATTGACTCACCTATATATTGCCAAGCATTGATATAATACTTACATAGATGAGTAATTACCGCCTAAAATCGTTGCTACTGCACATCTGTCCACAGGCATATGCATAGCAAACGTCAATTCAGTATTCAATGTGGCGTCAACCGAGTTGAACATAGCGACACATGACAGTAACAATCGCCAAAATGGCTAAATGCGTAGTGAAAGAATGCGATTCAAGGTCACAAAACATTAATAAATCATGCGGAATTACTTTTCACGTATAAGTTTATGGTTTTTGTATTGATAATATCCTAAATAAGGCTATAATTGAAATAAAACACTGATAATTGTAATTTAGAATCAGTGTTACCATTAAAAAATCATTTTGGTTTTCCCACATTAGTGGGAGAATTTATAATTTATGAAATAATATGCTTTATACTGTTTTTAAACATTTTGCCAATAATAATAAAATATAGGAAGAACGGTAGTTGTTAGGGCTGGACCGATCACTTTTTTTAGGGATCCGTTGAACGTGCTGGAGACTTTTGTACAAAATAATTAATTCATTGTTTTTCTTAATTTTTTATCAATTTTAAATAATAATTGTACAAAATAATAATAATAATAATAAAAAATGTTTATCATAAAAATAAAAAATATAAATATAAAATAAAAAAGTAAATAAACATAAATAATTTTTTTTATAAAATATAAATAAAAAAAATAAAAAATATTTTTTTTAATTTGTTTTTTAAATTATTATAGAATTTATAGAATTTATATAGAATCTGTATTCTTAATCCGTCACCGTGTGGTGACGGATTAAGAATACAGATTGTCACCACCCCTATTCATCCCGTGGGTGTTGTAAGAGTCAACTAAGGGAAAAAACGACGCAGAACAACAACACTGCAGAGAGAAGGAAAACTTGACACAAACCCTTTTTTTTTTTTTTTTTTTTTAACGTGTGGAAATCCCCTCGGACCGTCACCCCTCCGGGGTTTGCGGCGGGGTGGTGTGTCGGACTCGGACCGACTAAAACCACACGGTGTGCCACTCTGCGCCTGTAACAGGAGGGATCCGGGAACAGCTGTTGTTAAGACATCCGGACCCCTCCTAGCGCCAGCCCGCTCCTGGTGCGGGCTCCGTCTCGATATATTTTCCCTCTCTTTAGGCGACGTCCGGCACACGCGGACGCCGCCCCCTCGCGGCTGGCCAACTAATGCGGGTGGAGGGGAAACCCACCCCGTCCACCCGCGGCCACACTCAGGGCGGCATGAGGCTGTGATAGCCGGGCCTCCGCCGCCCGGTTCGCCGGCGGCGGATCGGGTCCGAGTGGAGGTCGTCCTCCCGGGCCCTCTCCGCCGCCTCCTTCCGCGAGATTACTACCTCGCAGAAGGTTGCGACCGCGGTAAAACAACTGTCGCTACCGGCCATGGAGCGTACTACGGCCGGTAGCGAGAGATCCACTCCGATGACTGCAGTGAGGGCCCGGCGCTGCGCCGCCCATGCGGGGCAGACCGCCAGCGTGTGCTGGGCCGAGTCCTCACTGCAGTCGCAGTGGTGGCAGGCGGGACTCAGTTCCCTCCTAGCGACCGTGTGCAGGTACTTTCCGAAGCAACCGTGCCCGGAAAGCACCTGCGTCAGTCGGAAGGAAAGGGTCCCGTGCTGCCGCCCTGCCCACTCGGCGATGACCGGCTGGAGAGCCTCCACGGCGGCGAAGCCAGCGCGTGGAGTCTCCAGCCGGAACGACCAACGAGCCATCGTGGCTCGGCGAGCGGCTTCGCGCCACTCGCGCACATCCTCGGGCGGAGGGCGAAATCCGCCTTCCGCCCGGAAGTCAGCCACTCGCCGATAAACTTCGGCGAGCACTTCCGCCTCCAAATCCCACGGGGGAGTTCCGGCCAATGCGCATGCCACCTCCGTCGAAACGGTGCGGTAACCGCGTATGGCTCTGACCGCCATTACCCTCTGAGGGCGCCAGAGGCGTACCCTATTCTGGGCGGTCAGAGCCGCCGCCCACACCGGTGCACCGTACAGTGCCATTGACCGGACAACCCCCGTGTACAGCCGTCTTGTCGCGACGCTGGGTCCACCCATATTGGGCAAGAGTCGCCCTAGGGCAGACGCAGCGCCGACCAGCTTTGGAGCAAGCTGTCGGACACAAACCCTATACCAACCCGTCTGGCCAGCGTGGTATAGTAGGCCAAAACCTCCTTTCTAAGGAGAGGCTTATGTCCAGCAGTGGACTATTAAAGGCTGTTGATGATGATGATGATGATAGAATTTGCAATACACCCTGGGGATTATTTATTATCAGTACAAGTTGATCATTCACTTTTATTATTAAATGCTATTATTTTTACATACGTAAAAATAAGATTGTATCATGAAAGTAAAATATCCACACAAACTTATAAAAAAGAGTCTAAAAGACAATTGTATACAAAACTGATGCTTCACAGCGCAGTTTGATTTTACACTGAATATAAACCCTTTTAACCAAATATTTCTAGTTATTTTATTATTTATACCTATTCTATTCAATTGGATATATATTATTTTATTATATATATATATATATATATTTTATTCAAAATTGTTTAAAAAAAAAATTGTTTCTTAGTTGTTATGGGTAAAATTTCATACGGTAGTCAACACTGGCCCACCATCGTAAAGTTATATCTTTGTCTTTGTCTAATCCGAGCGATGGTATTGTTCTTGTCTCGCGTGTAAATGAGACATAAATATGTTTACTTTCAAATGTTTAGTGGTATCAAAGCTACGTCGTCAAAGTTCAAAAGTGGTTACACTTTTTTCGACGTGTGAAAATGAGGTTTGCTTCTCTAGTGTTGTTTTAACTCAATGTTGCCAAGCATATTTGTAATAACGCTTAGTATATTGTTGGAGCTGTAGACCACGTACTAGGAAACAGAACCCATACTTGCGTAAGTTGCGTTGCATAAGAAGCAAGCTAGTTTTGCATCCATGTTCATGGATACCCATTTTACAGAAGCGGTACATCCTCACCAACACTCTAAACACATCATTAAACTTATGATATTAATAAATAGATCTTTGTGTGAGTCTAGCCAATTAGCAGCCCGTGTAGTAAGTAGTACAGTAGACTTGAAAGAGCGTGAGTTGTACACTCAGTGAACAATGTGCTAACCAGCGTACAAGTACGTTCGCTCTAATGGACAGGGCTCTCGGTTCTTGTACAAAATCAAGGTTATCTGTGACGTCAGGGGTTAATATATGATCAACATATTTAGATATTAAGTAGAACTTGTCTTTATTTTATTTAAATTTATAAATATTTTTAAATTTCTCGTTTAGGTATATAACGCTGACTTTAACGTAGTTAAACGTTTTAGTTATAACGTAGTTTCTTCTGCCTCCAGCCTTGATTTTTCTACATTGTATATCAAATCATGTATTTTGATGACTACAACTTCGTAAGCCTACAAATCGATCTACTTATCAGTGCCATTTCGTCATACGCTGTCTATGTGACAACCAAGTCTAGTGGAGCTCAGCTCGCATATAAACTCGTTTCCGTACAGGTTGAAAAGGGGTAGGCGAGCTCAAACTTTTTGTCTCACCACGCATTGTATCCTATTCTATAAGACTAGGTTGTCTTCATTTTTCTTTAATTTTTTTTTATATATTTTCTTATCATTATTCTTATAATCTTTCCAACCTATTTTAATTACTTTTCATTAAATTAGTTGACAGCTCTAAGAAAGTTTTACCTTCACTGAGGATTGTTGCGGATCACACTTGTTTATCGTGTTCATTGTTATTAATGTGAATACGATGGTAAGAACTTCAGAGTTCTAAAAAGTCTCTTGTTATCAAGATGAAATAGAATAAAAAAACGATGAATGTTTCTTTTAAAGAAACATGCTTTTAAAAGGATATAACATCAAAGAGCTTTGATTACAAAAAAACTGTATAGAGGCGAACTGCCCTAGGCGTTTTACAAGTCAACCGTAAGGCAAGGCAGAAATGAAAAAAGCTCGCGTTTATGAAATCCAAAAAAACATACCTAAACGAATTAAGAAGAAGCACAGAGTAAATTCGATAATTTAAATTGGTTTATCTTTTTACAAACACATTGCGATTTTAAGTAAAATGTTACATAACAATAATAAGTTTAGTTGAGCGTTAGTTAAAATGCAAT